AACCACGATCCACAAACACGCCAACGCTTGCATAAACTGTTGCATTATTAAAAACATCTTGAATAAAACCTGCAACTTGTGGACTTGTGCTTTTTTTCTCACGTGGTGCATGATCCTTATTTTCAATTGGCGCATCTACTATTTCACCGGCACCACTCCATGGAATTATTACTAAATCAATGTCTGCATCTTGTATTTTTTCAATAATTTCTTGACAAAAATCCTTTGGAGAAGCAACAGATAATTTAGCATCAACCTTTACAGGACTAATTTGACTAAGTGCAGTAAACATATTCATGATCGGGTCATGTAAAATAGTTTCCGAAATTTCATTAAATTTCATCACCGCTGCGTAAGCTCAACAAAACGTAATACATGAACATTCATAGGGTTATTGCTTTTAGTGGTGTCTGAATCAGTATCATTATTGGATTTGGTAGGAGCATTGTTATGTTGTAAAAGTTGAACAAAAGTTATCATGGCCGGAAGATTTTCAACTTTATCCAATACAGCCAACAATTTGAGATTTTTTGAATGTGATAAATCCTTTGCTGATTCAGGATCCTTTTTAATCTGTTCATGTTCCAGTCTCCTTTGGTACTTAACAGGATACAAATAAGTGGCAAGTGGAGTTGTGAGAAATGTCGTTACCAGGGCCCTACATAAACCAGCACGAATATGTTAATATATTTTATGTAAAAAGATATATTTATAAATAATTTTACTCTCATTAATATAAATAGAAAATCATAGCACTTACATGATGACCATGATCGAGAAAACCCTGACATTTATAATTTTTGCGTCATAACCAACATTGAGAATAATTAATTCTACAAGACTATATTATACATAAGGAATTTAAATTATCATTAGTATTAAAGGAATTAACATTTTTGTTAATGTTATTAAATATTAAGTTAATAATTACCCTTTACAACTCATAAAAACTCCAATTGTTAAAGCTTCTCTATAATTAGAACCTGTTAATTTAGCGGCAGCAGTACAGCCAAGTATTTTACCAATCATAGCAACAATGATGATTAAGATCGCCCAACCCCATCCTGTAGCACCCAAGTCACCAATATTAGTTTTCAACCCAGATAGTGTAAAATACTTTAAAAAATTAGATAAAATACATTTAGTAATTGGACTAGTTGATTAATATAAAAGCAGATTAATATGAAAAATAAATACACGTATACGGAACGTATGTATTTTATCATTTTTTACGAATTAATGATTTTATAGAATAATTAATACTTACTATGGGTATGAATAGGACAGTAATCAGATCTTCAATTTTTTCAGTAATTCCCACCGCGAAACCTCCTTCATGAGGAAGTATTACCCCAATGATGAAACCTCCAAAAATGTAATGAATTCCAATGATATTTGTAATAAATGCCGACATTAAAACGACTGATAAAGTAATAGCAATCATTAATGTTGATGGGGAAGCTCGATCTGAGTTAGTCATAACAATGAGTTTTAGTAAGATCGGGCGAATAATAAAAGCAACAATTAAAGTTCAACCAACGCAGAGCAAAAAAGAATAAAGAGCCGTGAGATAGTTTGCGGCATTAATTATCGCAATAACTATTGCCAGTAGAATCCAAGCGGTAATATCGTCACCAACAGCAGAAGTTAGCGCGCGATTACCCACGGGAGTTCCCGTAAGTTTTAGCTCCGATAATATACGCGCGAGAACCGGGAAGGCCTATAATTTAACAAGCATGTTGATGTCTCTACGGAAATACGCTTTTAGGTAAGATACGTTTTTAGGTAATTATGTAAACGAATTCTTTACCGTAATAGCCATGGCAACGCAGATGAACAGTACAAAACTAGTAAATGGCACATTATTGCCCTCAACATGCTGATTGCCCATTGCATCATACAGACCATATGCGACGCCTATACCCGTAATAAAAGGTAATATAATACCAGATGCAGAGATAAAAGCAACAGATTTTATACTATTTTTTATCATTGTTGGATTCAATTCTAAACCAACTAGGAACAAGTATAAAACCAGGCCAAAATTAGCCAGAAGGTTAAGATAAGTAATGGAATTGCGCGGAAAGACAGCATCTATGTATCCTGGAATATGGCCCAATATAGATGGTCCAAGGATAATTCCACCTAACACTTCAGAAATAACTCGTGGCTGACGAATATGTTTAAGACCAAGATGGAGGAGGCGTGTAA